CCAAAGGCAAGCCATGAAATGAACTCCAATCCCCTTGTGTCGATGCTGCGAAGGTAATGGAAACCTTCAAAGGCTCCCTCTGGTAAACGGCGGATGGTATTGGCCACGGACAAATGAGTAATGTCCCCTGGTATTTCTTCCTCTGGTTGTCCGCTATAGACAAACCGCACGTCGGCATGTTCCAAATGGGCCATTGTTGTAGCTTGTGCTTGCTTGCTTGCTTGCTTCCTTTTGTATCGGATGAAGTAGTCAGAATACTGTATGTTGTGCTTTCTTCTGGATTAATATATTAAAATTGTCACTTGGATTATTTTCAAGCGAAATGAAACGAAAGTACTTGATGATTGAACTCGACTAGATCGACTAACAACGCGCCATATTGAATATTTTTTATTGTTTTATTTTGAATTTATTGCACTCCTCTTGCCTCTTGCCTCTTGCCTCTTGCCTCTTGCCATACGTGTACTGGTATAGGATTATTAAAATACCGTATACTTTTTTTGAAAACTGCATCGCAGGCAAAGTCCTACCATATACTGTATAATACACTATATCAAGAATAAACGAAGCAATAACAAGAAGAACAAACGAGACGTTCCTCTTCATGAACGCGGATTCGGATTTCCTTCATATTGACGACGACTTCGATTTCGACATTGTGCTTCTGAATAAAACTTATGATAGCTTCCAATCTCTGCGGGCGAGCAATAATGCACGGACCGTCATTCCATATCGATTTGTGAATGTTCGCATCGATACAAGGATACAACGCATCAATGGAAAGTTTGCGCACCTTATGAGACTATTGAACGATGATTCTCGAAAGTGGGAAGAAATTACTTTTGAAGGTGATGAAGATGGTGACACAATGTCTCAGGCGTTCCTCTCCGTTCTCGGTCTGGCAATGATCAAGTTCGAAGAGTTATGCCTGAAGACTTGGTACTCAGATGAAGCGTTCTATCGGTGTTTGATGTCTGGACTCGTGTCACCATTGCGTGTTCTTTCTCTTGATCTGCGTGCTTACGGTCCAGACCGTCGACGGATGCGAGCTGCCCACTGGAATCATATTGCTGAAGGCCTCGCCCAGACTACTGCACTCCAGAGCTTTAGCTTCCGCTCAGAGGTCGATACTTCTGGACACCAAGATGCACCACTGGAGGATATCAGTGAAGTGCTTGTGGATGGTATTGCGAGGAATACTACTATTCGACATCTTAAACTCCAATCTGGCAATCTTACGGACGACAACCTCTTCCCGCGCCTCATGAAGTCGCTTCAACGGTACCCAAAAAAGCTGGAATCATTGATGCTGTCGAGTCGAAAGATTACAACGGACCATCTCAAGGACTTGGCCGGCTATCTTGGCCACGAAAAGTGCTCCTTGAAGAGGTTTGAGATCTGTAGTTCAGAATTGTCCAAGTTTCCACCAGACTTTTGCAATATGAAGAATGTCTCAGTGAAAACTTTCCACCTGTCCGTTGCAGATGGTTGGAATGAGTTTGTTTCTTCAGTCTGTCCAAAGCTTTCGTGCCTCTCTTCCTTGACACTTGATGGTACCAATCTCATGGATCTATCGCCATTGGATGTCCTCTTATGCGATGAGACTGCACTCCCGAGCCTTACAGATTTGAGTTTAGATTTTTCCGGATCGAATGAACAGGCTCTATCGCTTTTTGCTTCGAAGCTTCCACGGATGAAACACTTGCGCAATCTTCACTTGACTTGTAGTGCTTTTCAAGATCATTCAACAAGCAAACTCGAGTCTTTCTTCAAGCTGGCTCAGAAAAGCAAGACCCTCGAAATGATCTCCTGCCGTGGTATCGATGACCATGCATTGGAAGTGGATTTACTTCGGGTTTTAAACTTGAACAAAGCTGGACGCCGTGGGATAGAGATAATGTCCAGCGGCAGTCGACCACTTGGCATCAAGCTTTGGCCATTGATTCTGAAACGCTGTCTCACCGTCAAGTACGTCAAGAGTATGAAAAGATTTTGTGCGGAAGCAAAGCTAGATGACCAGATCGCAAGAGACAATCTATTCTTGATTCTTCGAGATCATGCTTGCATTTTCCATGAAATCCAACAAGTAGCTCTGCGAAGAAATCCACGTCGGAAGGCACGAGATAAGAAGCAATTTTGAAATGTATGAAGTCAATGCTCATCAAACTGTAGACGATGAAATATAATAACAACTCCTACATTAATTTTTTACAAGATGTATTGATCTGGGCAATGTAGCGCACACATGCGGGTACAGTTGACGTTCCTAAGTACCACATACAATCTTGCTAGTGTACCGGTATCGAGCAATCTTACTTTTTATTAATGCCACCAGAGGCACCTTTCGAACGTTGCTTTCTTTTCATATATCGATAGGTCGCCCAGTTTTTAGCCATGTGTCGAATTGGCTAGAAAACTTTAGTCGCGGACTTGCTTCTTTTTGAAACAATGCAAATTGATGGATGTCGAGTGACAGATATTGACAGAATGATTCATCAGTTGAGCCAACAATTATATGAAGTGGTGGTTTGGGTACATCATTTTTCATGCAATAGTGCCACCGAGGCAGCAGTCGATGAAATAACGACGAAGCTATGTATCTGCCTGGTATGCGCTTGTTGCCTTTAACTAGCTGCCAATCGTCGTCTAGCACAGTGTAGCCTGTTCTGTTGAAAAAGTTCATCGTCGGTTGTATATTACCTGTTCGGGATCAGGGGAAAGAAAGTAACTAAGTTAGTTTGTTGATTCATTCCGCCGTCCTGATGTGACCAATGCAACGTACCTTCGACACTCAATGTGAGCACATTTGGATATTCTTGAAGCCATGCACCTATGATTGTGTTGTCATCTTGGCATCCCCAAACCCTCGCCAGGAATTCCACCGTTGGATAAATATTGTCATCCAAACTCAATGAAAAGACTGACGGACATCGTCGAGCAACTTTGGAAGCTAGCCCTTTACTGATTGAGTTAAGGGCATTTGTTTTCCGCTGCAAATTTGAGAGCGAAAGTGCAAGAAGCGCTGGGTGAGATAAAACACATTTTTTCAGGTTCCCATCCAACAGCAAATCGTTTTTTAAGTATTCTAGCGTTGGTTTCAAGTTCTGATCAACACTCAGTGCCAATACCGAGCCAGCCTTGAGTAGTTTGGGCAGTTCTTTTGCACTCAGCTGCAGTGTAGAGGTGAGATATTCGACTCTGGGTCTTAGATTTGTATGAACGTGGAGATTGAGGAAGTTAGGATTTGTCATGATCATTTTGCGTAGAATCCGTTTCGGATTTCCACTCGGTTCTAGTATCTCACAAAGATAGTGAATCCCCTCTTTAATCTTGTTTGGGGCGAGACTGAAAACGAATGGACTCTGTCTTCTCAACTTTTTCAACTGGGCTTCAGATAAATCTACCGTCTCTATCAATACGTTGTCTACTGACAGATTTTTCTTTTTGCTTGATCCAGGGTTGGCCTTATTGTTGTAGCCAATACCACTGGTAAGGAGAAGCTGTGGATTGCGTTCCATTGCTTGATTGAAAAGTTCTTCGCCCCAAAGATTCAATAAGAAGTCTGCTGTTGGTCTCAAGTATGAGTCTACCGATTTGTTCAATATGCGCGGGCTTTCAATCAGTAGTTGCTGTACACTTTCTCGCGGCAAGAAAGCTTCCAGAAAGTCGAGAACTCCAGTTACTGATGTTATGGACAGCTCCTTTGCCCGATAGATGTACATTTTGGTTCTTCTACAGTCGCACTCGTCGCCATAGCGTGCTATGATCAAGGCCATAACTTCTCGAAACGCCCCGTTGGCCCTCTTTCCAGTTGTTTCGCTGGTCAGAAATGACTCGTCATGATCCTCCAAGCTCGAAACGGAAAGATGGCTGCATTGGAAGCAAGACTTTTTGGTTGTGATTGGATAAGAAGTGAATCCATAGGTTTCATGAAATCGCTGAGCGGCTAGCAAGAAGAGGAAGATCAGAAGTCCATTGCAATAAACAACCATACGAACGTTCCTGCTGAGGTTGACGAAGTCGGCAAGCTATATGTGTGTTTGCCCGTTCTCCTTGTACCGATTGTCCACGCAGTACTGTACAGTACAGTATTGAATCAAGAATCAATAAGAGTTTGAGTACCATTGTATATCACAAGGCAATGTATAGAGACTATTGCAGTACTGGGAAACTTGAATCTTGTCAATCTTGATCGGGGTGCTGGCATATACTGGGTACGCAAGTGATATATGTACTCTTGCTTGGATGATGAAAACAAGTACTGGTAGGAGTACCGGTACACGTACTGTAGTTTTGAGGCGTGAAATGAGTCAGTCGCAGAAAATACAACAGTAACAAAACATCTATCAACAAACGAGACGATTCTGTGGAAGCACTCGCCAAACCATGGACGCAGATTCAGATTTAGATCAAGAAGTAGAGATGGAGGAAGAAGGCGATGATTTGAACATCACGATTGCCCCTAAATCATACTGTAAGGCACGTCTTCTAAAAGGGAACACCGAAATCGATATTCCGAGTGACTTCATGAGCATTGATATATCTGGAAGGATAGGAGACAACTGTGGAAAGGTTGAACACCTCCTGAGGCTCTTGAACGATGATTCCCGAAGGTGGAAAGACATGACTATCGAAGGTGATCGGAATGGGGATGCAATGTCTCAGGCTTTCCTCTCGGTAGTCGGACTGGCAATGACAAAGTGCAAATCTTTCTTTTGCCTGCAAAAGCTTTACGCGGACGAAACATTGTATCAGTGCTTGATGTCTGGGCTTACGTCGCCATTATGCGTTCCTAGTCTTGATCTATGTGCTTACGGACCAGACCGTCAAAAGATTAAAGCGAAACACTTGAAGTGTCTCGCTGAAGGCATTGCACAAACCACTGCACTCAAGGACTTTAGCTTTTGCTCATTGTTAGACCATGATGCACCAATTGAGGATATCAGCGGAGTGCTGGTCGACGGGATTGCGAGGAACAATACTATTCAACATCTCGAGTTCGAATCTCGTAATTCATTGGATGACAATCTCTTTCCGTGCCTCATGAAGGCGCTTCAACGACACCCAAAAGACAAGCTGGAATCGCTGAGTGTACGGAGTCGAAAGATTACAATGGACCACGTTAAGGACTTGGTCGGCTATATTGGCCACAAAAAGTGCTCGATGAAGAAGCTTCGTATCAAAAAATCAGAGCTGTCCAGGATCCCACGAGAATTTCACAATGTACATAATACATCCCTGAAACAGCTTTGTCTGTCCGAAGTAGACAATTGGAGTGACTTTGTTTCTGTGGTGTGTCCTACTCTATCATCCCTCTCGAGCCTCACAATCATTGGTCAGAATGTCACGGATCTAGCGCCATTGGACAACCTCTTGTGCGATGAGAGTGCGTTGACAAGCCTAACACAGTTGCATCTGACTTCCACGGCATTGAAGGAAGAGGCTCTATCGGTCTTTGCTTCCAAGCTCCTGCGGATGAAACACCTGCGCACTATTACGTTGTCGTTTCATCATTTGCATTTTTTTCATCCTCGGTCGAGCAAACTGGACCCTTTCTTGACGATGGTTCAGAAAAGCAAGAGCCTTGAATATATAAATCTGTCTGTTGACCACCCCATGGAAGCAGATGTACTTTGTGTTCTAAACTTGAATAAAGCTGGACGCCGGGGGCTAGAGACATTGCCGTCGGGTAATAGTAGTGGTGGTCAGCAACCACTTGACATTGCGCTTTGGCCAATGATTCTGAACCGCTGCCTTACCCTCAAGTACGCCAAGAGTATTCGAGGGCGCTTGGCTCAAGGCAAGGAACAAGAAGAGATTGCAAGAGACAATCTTTTCTTGATTCTTCGAGATCATGCTTACATTTTCGATGCAATATGTGACAAGAAGTAACAATTGGAAGACGCTACGGTACATACAAGCAGCTATATTGAATTGTATGAGACTGACTTTGAATGACTGACTGACTCATGCTTTTACATATTAAGAAAAAATAACACACACACATACTGTACTTATAGAAGTGTCCTAGTAGTAGTTACCTTCTAGCTATACCACTGCGACTTCGATGACCGGGGTGCATTCAATTCAGGTTCACTTGGAACAGTTTGGAGTGAACAAAGCCCCAAGCGAGGAGACTATTCTATTATAAAAAAGACAACGAGCAGAATGAATGGCAAGATACACCAATGAAGCAGGACTGAAAATGCAGCCTTTTCATGTATTGTCCGTCATAAAAAGGTATCTGGTTTACAACTGTCTCCTCACCACAGACTAGACACAAAACGATTCTTTTTCTTCTTTTTATTAGTAGTCATACACTGTATGTACCAGCACTTTTATTTTAATTGGCACCAGCCGCACGAGCACGTTGCATGGAATTGACTTGCTTGATATCCTCTCTCTTGTTCACAGCACGCTTGTGGGAACCCAATCGACGCTTGGCGAATTTGTACACACGCTTATCGGCAGCAGATCCTCCAGTCTTGATCATATCCAAAATTCTGCGTTCGTAGGGGGCAAGTCCAACAACCTCACGGGCAATTTGACGGCAGAGAAGAGTTCTCTTGGAAATGGCCTGAAATAATCAGAGGAAGGGAGGAAGGAAGGAAAAAGAGATATACATGAGTGACATGATATGATATGACATAAATGTATGGCATTGCAACAATGGATTGAATTGCTTCTACGGCCAAATGATATCCCACGGATTGACGGTTTGAATTGTTGTTTGTTTGTTTGTTCGTTCGTTCCATCCCTCCAATGTGGTGATTCCTTCCGACATGGCAACACTGCCATCTCCATGCATTCCAACGAGGGGCATATCAAATGTTTCTAACTTACACCCTTTCTTCGAGCAGCCTTAGGCTTAAGCTCTCTGACGGTAGTTTGGTGACCACTTTCGGTACCCTTTGCGTATCCGTTTCTTCCCATGGTGAACTAGTTTGTTGGTTTTGGTTATTGACTTGAAAAAAACAACAACCAAATATTGGGGGTTCAGTAACGAGGTACGCTGGATGGTCGGGGTGACAGGCAGACAATACTAGGCAGATAATCCGTACGACTGGTACATTCAAATACCTCTTACTGAAATGGTTTCTAGCAAGTGTGTACGTAAATAATGTACCAGACTCAATTGAATCTGCTGGGTCGTCGATTTGCAAGTTTTTGCGTGCCAAGCAACTTGTCCCCTCATCACCATCCTCAACGAGACACACCGTTGTAGATATTTTCCTTCAGGTACGGATCGAATGACTTAATGCAAGATAGACAAGCAACAAAGAATGGAACAATAGTAGACACTGGTGGATAATGCAACAACAGCAACAGCATCAGCAACAGCAACAACAACAGCTTGGCAATAGATGGGCTTGTAGGAAATTTTCATGACGGGACATGCAATATCATTGATGAGATGATTCATTAGATGAAGGAGTTGTTGTAGTCGCCATGATTAATGATGGAATTTCAGAGCTATCTATCTGCAATCTGTTATTGCTGTTGACCGGTGATGTTGCCGCTGCTGCTGCTGCTGCTGTTTCTATTCAAACATATCTATCTATGGATAATCTTTCTTTGGAACTGATGATGATGATGATGATGCATTCAGTTCAATTCCAACAATCACGTTTCTAACTTTCTTTCTTTCCTTCTTCCCGCACAGAACCTTTACATCTCTTAATTCATCATGCCTGATCATCGCTGGACGAGAGTTGGACGCCATTCCTACAACACCAAGCAACACAGTGCTCGTGGTGTTCGAACACCCGGTGGCACCCTCAAGGCCCAACGAATTTACAAAAAGTCTAACGGTGTCAAGTGCAGTGACTGCAAGGTCTCCTTGCCAGGAATCAAGCACATTCGATCCAGCAAATACCACGCCACCAAGAAGAGAGAACGCACTGTCTCTCGTGCTTACGGAGGTTCTTGCTGTGCTTCCTGCGTCAAGGGACGTATCATGCGTGCCTTTTTGTTGGAAGAACAGAAGGCCGTCAAGAAGGTCCTAGCAGAGCGAGCTGGAAAGTAAATTATAATTCAAACAAAAACAAAACAAGCAAACAAACAAACAAACAATTATTGATTAGAAAAGAAGAGTCGCAATGTGTGTGTGTTTTTCGTAGTGCAGTGATTGTCGGTAACCTAATGTGTGTGAAGTACAAATCGATTCCATTCACAAAGTGGCCTTTGGTCTGCCTACTCTCATCCTTGAGGCCTGAATGTTCAGACAGTATTCCATGCATTACTATTATTATTATTACTATTATTTTAATAATAATATTACTATTTTTCTAGCGCTCTTTGGCTTATCTATACAGTACTACTAGCTATTTCGTTGCAGCAGCAGCAGCAGTCGAAATACATACATACCGGTAGTGTACATACATCCATCTTACACATGCCGGCCCTCCAGAAAGGCACAGTATCTCCAAGCGACATGAGCAAAATGATTGGGATCCGAAAAGGAGGGAGGAATTTCCAAGACGGTTTGACTCAAATTGAAACCATTCGAGGGCAATAATAATCCCAACCCAGCATTTGCGGTTGCATTTGTGGTCGCTGGCTTCATAAACATTTGCCTCTGATTGTGGGCCACTGGCTTGAGTCGAGCCTGTCCCGTCATATCGGGGACAATGGCACTATTGGCCTGATCAATCAAATATTCCATCCAGACAATCTCGTTACCAAATTCTTGGCAAAAATGTGCATCGTACCGAAGCAGGAGAATGGAACGAAAGACTCGATTCCAATCCATCGGTGTAAGAGACGCAAAGGAGCCCTGCGGAATGTTGGGATCCATGTACGAGTAGTACAGCAAACCATCTGAAGCCTTTTGACAGAGTGTCTGCAAATGGTGGCGCAAAAAGTATCCAAAGGTCTCTTCCATGTAGCTCCTCACAAATTTCAAACCAGCCTCGTGGACCAGCTTATCGTATTCCATGATTTCATCCACCAAAGCGGACAGGAACTTGAGAGTGTCCGAATATTTGACCACGACCAGTGTCTGGCGCCAGAGATCGGAAATCAATCGATGAAAGGTATCATTCAATGCCTTTTTGGTGCCCACGTCAATGGCGTGAGGCGAAACTTGTTGGAGCTGGTGGTACATGAGTTTCAAATCAGCACAAAAGCCAAAATGCCACTTCATGGACGCAAAGAATCGACAGCAGCTGGACCGGGCGGCCGCCACCACGCGGGTGGCCTCGGTGTCCCATTCTTGTTCCATGACAAAGCGTCGATACTCGTGGCATTCCTGACAGAGGCGGGCAAATACCTCCGTCGTTGTGGTCGTTTTGGATTCTTTGCAAGAACACGAAGAAGAGTCATCAAAGTAACTCTGTTCCAGTGCGCTGCACAATTGCCAAAAGGCTGGTCGGACATCCACCGCCACCACCTTGTCAGAAGAAGCGAGCGAGACCAACTGTTTGTGAAACATCTCGAGTTGCTGGACAAAACCAGCTTCATAGGTAATTCTGGATAACAACAGTTGGATCCGTTCTTCGATGATTCTCTTTTGGTTGTCCTCTCCACCGAGGACAAAGGACAAGGCCTTCAAGAGCGTGTCAATATTAGCACTGTCTTCAACAAAACCAGTGACTGGAATGAAAAAAGGCGAAGTCTTTGCCCACGATGGCTTAGGCTTATCTTCTTCTCCAAAGTGAGAAACTTGTAGGTCTCCACCATTATTCTGCAACATGTCATAGGTATCCAGGATGGTATCGAAGTTTTCCTGACTACGATCTGCTGTGACACCAAAGATCTTCTCCACTTCCTTTCGAACCAACTCCTCGACTTGCTTGATGTGTTCTTGTTCTGCCAGATCATCATACTCATCAAAATCATAATCATCATCAACAACCTTTTGGTTGAACAGAACAATCACTGGAAGGTCCTGTTGCAAATCGATGTTGTCTTTTACGAGTTGCAACAGCGGCGACACTTGTTCCTTGATGTCGTCTTGGGTATCCATGAATACCACAATGCAATCGAATGTGGACCAGTTGTTTTCGATATAGTCCATGTATTTCTTGTTAGCATCAGCTTCTTCTTCTTCTCCTTCTTCATGGATACTACTTGGAACGTTCACAAGTACCAATTGCGTGTCCTTGCGCATTTCGAAAAACCGTTCCTCCGGTTCTACTTCAAATCGCTTGGTGGTCACTTCTTCTTCTTTGTTGTTGTTGTTGTTGTTGCTGGTGATGATGATGCTTTCCACTACAACTTTACGCTTGAACGACACGGGTGGCTCGTCCTCCGGCACCAATTCCCATTGACTTGTTGGACTGGACACTACTGCAAACTCATTGACGCCAGTAGTGTCCGATGTCATTGTCGTGGATACCTCCTCACCCGACTTGTCACGAAGAAGGACATTCAACAAGGTAGTCTTGTCCGAAGCCTGCACATTTCCGCCAATGAGAGCAACCTTGATCTCAAAGGTTGGCAGAGAAGGAGGTGTCTCCATAATTAGAAGGTCAAGTTCTTGCTTGTGGTGGGTACACGTACTGCAATCTGGAATTGGAAAACAATTCAGTTTGATCCTTGCTCTATCTTTGGTTGATCCTTTCCACAAAAACTATGCAATCACGTGCGGAAACGAAGATGCTCTTGTTTCGGCGAATTCAGGTTTTCACGTAACCTGTCATCGGCGATTTTAAATATGATCAGTCTTCACGCATGCACATCACCAGGTCTCCTTGCTGCCGAAGGAATACCATCCGCCCTTCCGTACCATTTCTAACTTCAGAAATCGTTCCAATCTATATCACAGTCAGGGTTTTGTAAGCATCCGCAACTCCATGATGACACACTGAGTTCATTTATCATCAAACTCGATTTGCGTCTTTCATTTCGAAGGGAGATAATACGCATATGGATATCTAAGTGCACAAGCAAGACCTTTATCACGTCATCGTCTTGGATGTCATGGTATATTGGTAGATGAGTATTTACATGTTTCGTTGACTTGCATACATTGAATATGCAATACAGTATGACCAAGATGAAGATATTCTTGTTGACTTGAAGTGTTTGTTAGGGACTAAGCTAGGCCATATCTGTTTCGAAGTTCTATAGCTACAGTAGCAAAGGACATTTCATATGCCTTTCATCAGCATTGAACTATATAATTAAGATTTACTTTGTCGACTGCTTCCGCCATTCACGCGGCTTGATACAAGCAAACTTCTTCCATGGATGGAGTTTGCGAGCCAAGAAACCAGTATCCAACTGTCCTCCGGTGAAGAAGCGGTCCAAGATGCCGTTTCGTCGAAGCTCGATGGAGTGTTCCAATTCTTCTGAGGCCATTCGAGCTTCTTTATTTGTGAACCTGATAACGTAATTGCTTCTGAACAAACTTGTGGGTTTCACTTTCACCTGCAGCTGAAGCGGGGTCAATCAAGGCATCCGGCGTGATCTGGTCTCCAGCATTTTCATTGATCAAGTAGCGGAATGGAACCTTGAAGACGTCCACGAGGACAAATGCTCCCCAATTGAACAGCACAATGTAGCCCATCGAATCTGTTGAAAGATCGCTGGTGTAGACGGCGATTAGTCCTCCAATCACACATGTAAAAAATACCAATGACTGACAAAATCAGCCAAACGGATGGCATAGACTTCCAAAAGAAGGATGGGGCCCGGACGGAAAAGATGGTCAGTTCAGTCACCATGACCAAGTAAAACCAAACAAATCCTCTCGTCTTGCTGCCACATTGACTGTTCAAGTCGACTTCCATCACATCATGACCATTCATCAGAAAGATGAACAAAAGTGCAAGGCCAGAGTGGATCAAACCATAGTACTAGGCTGACTGCAACACCAGTTTGCTAGTTCGGGGCAACTCTGGTCTTGTGCTAGCTATTGCGTTGTCATACTGTAGGTCACCGGGATCATCGAAATATCATTGAGCAAGGCCAAGACAAGCACCAACAAGGAGTGAGTCCACAGCACAACAAATAGCAAATATGATGGTCGAGAGCGTTAGTGCTATGATAGCACTGGCGCTATCATCATTTGCTCTGGTTGCCTACAAGAAATGCAGCAAAAAAAAGGACGACACCTACCAATGAGACGGATAGGCTCAGGAAATACGATTCGGCTAGCTATGGTACCGGTATAGTGGTGTACTCAAGCCAATCCCTAGCCGCTGGCACAAAAAGTGCCCCTGATATCTTCAATTTTCATTTTTGACATTTCCAAGTATAGACAATACAAAGCACATCAAACTACTACGTTTTAAACGGGAATTGGGCAAACGCACCGAAACCAAGCCCCTCATTGTCCCCAGCTTTACTTGTGTCCCGTAGTCTTCTTGCTGTTGACAGTGATTTGTGCATGTCACCGAGAGATGGTCGGAAATGAGTCCGACTTCTCAAACCGCCACCACTTTTTCGACGTGGCGAAAGCATCTCGTACTCTCCTTCTGGGAAATATTCTGGATGCCTCTTTTGCACAGATGCCGCAACCTTCACAGCGCCCCATGCAGCGTACTTTTCGCATGCCTCAGTGAGGAATCTTTGGGCAGAATCTATGCTGGCAGGATTGCTCAAGCAAAACTTGGCACAAAGATAATTTCCGAGCGCACTGTCTTGTAGGAATCCAGTCCGAGCGGCAAGGACAATTGCTTTCTCGTACTTTCGAATTGCATCGCTGATGTCTCTTGGCGCAAGTGAGCTCAGCTCAGCTTGAAGAATCTGGAACTTTTGGTTGACATTTACACCTCCTTGTTCGACTATTGATCGAAGAAAATTGGTAAGCTTCGTCGCCTTGCTCTTGAATTGCATCTTCTTTGTTCTTCGATACTTTTCAATATTGATCAATGCAAAGAAGAACACCCTTGTATGGTACAGTATCGAAGCCTTCCGAAATCCCATGTCTAGGTCTTTCAGGACATCGTAGTATTCTGTCGCTTTCTCAATGTCTCCCAAGTAAAAAGCTAGTTCCATCCCATAAGATCGAATGAATTCCCAGCAACGATCCGTATTTTCAATGCTGTGTTTCACTTCTGTCATTTCATACGCAGCGCCCGCTTCAATATTGTGGGGATCTTCAGAGTCGCCCTTCAAATTCAGCAGCATCTGAAACAGTGGAATTGTCATGTGGAAGATGTAATGTTGACCATATTCGAGCATCTGCCTGGCGAACTTTTCGATATCATCGAGAAGAGGTCCAAATGGCAACCCGCTGCAATAGAAGCTCCATAGGTATACCCTTGCACCATGAAAAGCGTTCTGAATATCTCCAAGTTCCATACTTGCCTTGTATCCATCAAGGGCTAGATACATGCAGTTGGATATGGGCTGAGTGCACCCCTCTGCCATGCATGCCTGTGTCAATACTCGGCCCTTTACAGCAAGATCAACTTCACTTTGAATCCTAAAGCCAAGTTGTATTACTCTGTTGCCTGCTTTTAGATCGTTGCTATTCGCAATGAAATCCATGCCTACCAGAACAAGAACAAGCGGGGTGAATTTCGACAGACCATATCTGAGTGTCATGAGCATCATCCTCGCAGTTGCATAGCTTCCAAATGCACTGCCAGTCACCTCGGATGTCAGAATGAGATCCGTAAGAATGTCGTAGCACGTGTCGATAGTCTTATCGGTCATGTGAGGTAGACTGAGGACATTTTCGTCACTCTTGATCCCAGCTTTGGCTTTCTCCCATTCATGCCGAACGACACGGCCATTTGGTTCTTTTGGGAACTTGTGACCGACACTCTCAAGTACTTCAGTCGCAAAATCCAACTGCTCTAGCATCCGACTTTCAGCAGTAAAGCATCGAAAGAGAGTTAGGCTCGCTTCGCGTTTATCTTCCACTCGCTTAGCCTCCTGTAGCACTGCTTCTGCTGCATCACGGCTTTCTGATATGAATCCTACGCTCAGCGTCGCTTTTGCGTAGGCAGTGAAAAGTTGGACTGCAGAATCGTAGTGACTGCCAAAAGCATCTTCCGGGCTTTTCCCAAGCAAATTCATTCCCACCTTCAGATACTTGCAAGCAACTACAAAAGCTGACAACTCGATTGCATTCTGGCCAGCGACATAGAGCAAGTGGGCTAAGTTCGAACGCATATCATCGTTACAAGAGACAATCATGATACTTTGTCCCTGAACAAGCTGGTCGACGCACACAAAGAGCATTTCTTGATCTGTAATCAGGGACCGCTTTTTCGAAAGCTTCAGTCCGAGTTCCCAGTGAATGCGCCTCCGCTCGTCTCTTTTTGGCAGCAGATTGTATGATGTTTCCTTGATTTCAGAATGAGCGAACTTGTACTCTCGATCTGAGATGCGAACCAACAAATCTTCCTTGCAGGCTTCAGAAAGAGTGTAAGAAATGTCATCGAAAACGAATAGCACCGATTTGGTGGCTTTCAAAATCTCGGGGTCGAATGTGGTACCGAAGCAGGACGCCAGCTTTAAAGTCTGCTCGACACATCGAGGAAGCTGCCATATTCTTGCAGCCAAAAGTTTGCCGACATTATCAGATACATCTGTGTATTTTCGAATATTCTCAACCGAGTACGTCCATCGCAGCTGTGCAAAGTCATACGAGAGCAAACCCTTTTGCTGAAGCGATTCCAGCAATTGGATCAAGAAAAAGAAATTTCCATGCGTCCTTTCTTTTAGCAACACTGAAAGGCTTTCGATGTCCTCAGGCTCCCTGTGAAGTGTACGAGCAAGGAAAGTTTTCACCTGTTGTTCGTCTAAATTGCGGAATGTCATTTCCTCAAAGTCAATCTTTTCTTCCATTTCTGACTTCCATAGTGTAAAATGATGCTTCTCTCCGACCTCTTCGCATTGCGTGATACATAGCAATAAATTGTTTCGGCATCCCTTGAGCAAAAAATTCAAGACTTTCAGAGTGCAAGCAGGGGTGCTCGTGATGTCATCCAAAAGAAAGACTATAGGCACGAATTCACATGTGATCTTGCAGAATGAAAGCAATGCTTGCATGAGGCACATATAATCAAATGTAGGCACTTCATTTCCCGAAGCAACTACATCTGCTGCTTCTGGGAAAATAGAAACGATTTCGGGAATCCATGTGACCAAAGACACTTGATGTATTTGCTTCACTTCAGCGACAAGTTTCTCTTGAATCTGCAGCCTGTCAGCAACTTGCTTGCAAAGGTCAGAGAGCAAGATGCGCAAGGTCGCAAAAGGGGCGTTTTCATTAGCTTCACATTTCGCAGAAGCGAAGAGCACCGAAGGATTATCCGCAAACTCGGTCGTTACCAACGATCTCTTCCCACTTCCTGAGGGACCTTCAATCAGGAGGGTACAAACCTTGTCATGTACTTTTCCATAGACATACTTCATCTGCTTTGCCTCTTCTCGCCGGAGTGTGCTATCGTATTCAATATGAAGAGCCTCTGTAAATTGTGACAGGCCATCTTGGAATTCCGAAATCGATTTCTTCAAAGTCTTAGCGATAATGTCATGATTCACATCCCCAGAATCAAATCGAAAGAAGAGATATTCATCCTTGAATTGGTGACCCTTCGAAACATGATGAAACAGAGAGAGCTCCTCCTCCAATTGCCGCCCAATTTGGACTGCGTGACCTCGAGAGCTTGCAATTTTCGATTGGACCAGAAAGTCAACAGCTTCGCAAGCAATAAAGGAGTTTCGGTAAGTCTTGAAGCGGTACTGGCGATTTTGAATGCGCACCCCCCGTCGCAATCGTTCGCCGATCTGAATCAATTCCTCCTTTCCGAAATCTGACAGATTGGAAGAAGCAGTAGAAAGTTCTTCCGACATTCCAGGCTCAAAACTGTCCTGGCTGGACGTTAAAGTATGGTCTTGCGAGAATCGGTAGAAGAGATAGTCATCTTCAAAGTTGTTTTCGTACTTGACATGATGGAAGAGATCAAAATCTGCCATCAATTTTCGACCAATTTGAACCGCATCCTCCCTACTAGTCGCAACTTTCGCTTGCACCAAAAAGTCCACCGCTTCAAATCCGATGAAACAGTTTTTGTATTTCTTCAGCTTGAACGTACGATCCTTCACATTGATTCCACGCAACAGCAGCGGTCCAATATCAGCAAAATCGTGCATATGGCGGGATCCAGTCAGCGAGGAACTAGCACTTTCGTCGAAATCGGATTCGTTTCTGTTGTAAGTAGCTGAGAATCTGAAAAAGAGATACTCGTCACAAAATTCGTGGTCATCACAAACATGGTGCCAGAGGCCCAGTTCATGCTGCAAGGCTAGCCCCAGTTCGACAGCTTCCTCACGATGACTGCAGAGTCCTTCGCTAACCATATAATCAACCGCATCCCTCGCAATAAAACACTTTCGATACGTCTTCAATCGATACGTTCGGTTTTTGACTTTCAGTCCCCTCTTCAGCAAATTTGCTACCTGAACCATTTGGCTTTTGGAGGTACTACGAAACCCACCAGAGGACCTACTGGAATCCTCCTTATCCATGCGCTTTTGAAATCTGAAAAAGATATGCTCGTCATGAAACTTCCTCTTTTGGTGGGCATCGTACCATAGGTGAAGGTCGCACTCCAGTCGTTGCCCTAGAACAACCGCATCTTGACGGGTATTTGTCATGCCTTCTTCCACCATGTAGGTCACGGCATCACTAGCTAAGAAGCAGTCTCTGTACACTTTCATGTTATGCATTTGGTATTTCTTCACTTCCAAGTCTCTCTTGAGCTGCTCCCCCAATCGCTCCAGGCTCGGGTCTGGCAGTACTTCGGGATCGAACTCCAGGGTTTCCCCTGGTGATGTCCGTCGTTCCTTCTCGACAAATCGATAAAACAGATGTTCATCTTTAAATTCATGCTCTTGCGTGACATGTTCAAACAGATTCAGCTCGGTCGTCAAGCGTCGGCCCAATTCTACTGCCTGAGATCTGTTCTCAACCAACTGAGATCTGACCATGAAATCGACACATTTGGTTCCAATAAAGCAGTTCTTGTAGATTCTCAGTCTCCATCGATGATCTCTCACCGGTACTCCATTTTCTAGTTCCGATGCAATCTGCTGAATCGTTGGCTCTTTGCTTTGAGGGAAGGAATCGTGCAATGGTCGGCGAAGGTCAGTGCCATCAGCGTCCGTTTCTTCTACAGAATCGCTGCCTTCGCTTCTGATTAGCAGATTCATTGTGCGTGTCTTGGGCAGATCAGCTTCTTGGTTCTTATTATATGATAAGATGCGATTTTTTCTCTGTTGTTGTCGTCAATTATGTTGGGAGAAAACCATAGCAACTGGAAACTTGCTTGAGAAGATGATGAACTTCCAAGCCAGAAAACGAAAGAATGAAGGCATTTTCGGAGGGTGTTTTGTGATAACGGACAGAAGTCCGTTTGAAGTAGGCCTAATCGACTACATCGACCACATATGACAAAAGTAACTACTGATCCTGTACTGCTACTATTTTAGCGTTGGAACTGACTGGAACCACGACCAAGGGTTACCTGGTACCAGGTACAAGCAGTCATAGTGATTATTTCCTTGATGCGAGCCCTACCCTGGTACGGTTGGTAACTGGTACCGGTCCCACCGAAGAAGCACCAAGAAGCGCGATGGTTTTGAGACGGACAACATGAACACGATTCATTACTCCTAATTAAATTGCTCTTGTTTCATCCCACAATTAAGTGCGAAACCCGCAAGCTACAGTAGGCTCTTGTTCTAGGATGACCAAAGGAGAAGAACAAGATTTTTGGCCACCCGAGTGCAAATTTCGCCGGATGTACCCCTATATTCATCTTCAAAGTTACAAAACTTCCTTCTCTCGGAGAAGATAACAAACAATCCAGGGCCCAAGGCACATCTGCAAATGTCCAAAGACGATCCTCCTCCTATGAAGAGTCCTCCCACCTTTCAAATCAAGGTTGCCCTCATCGGCAATGTCTCGGCCGGTAAGACTACTGTTGTCAATGCACTCTTTCGCGACAAGTTTGGGGAAGTCTCCATGAAGCGAACCACTGCAGGCATTAATGAGTTTGCCATTTCCAGCCGCAACGAATGGGCATTGGTATCCGAGGCGCCTCGAGACTCTCATTCGGTCTTGAAGGAAATCACCCAAGACAACCTCGAGCTACGAACAAGTGAAGAAGTCAAGACCAAGCGCTTCGAAATCGAGTTGGACGAAGCGCTATGTGACATGCGAAAGGATACACAGCTTGTGGTTGTGGATATCCCCGGCATCAACGAAGCTGACATGAGCAAAAAGTACAAAAACTACGTTGAGAGTCACTGGAATACCTTTGATTGTGTAGTGGTGGTTATGGATGGTCGCCAAGGCGTCAACACGGAAGAGCAAGTCTCCTTGCTCCGCTTCGCAAAGAGCAACTTGGAATCCAAGAAGGACGTGCCCATTGTGATCTTGTGCAACAAGATTGATGATCAAGACGATGAAGAACAAGAGGAACTAGTCCTGGAGGCGCAGCGTGAAGTCGAAAAGATCTTTGGAGTACCAGATCGACAGAAAAGTCTTCAAGAGATCCTCAAAAAATGTGTCTCCTCCAAACAGTCTGCAGACAGTACCGAGAAACAAGAGCCAACAGATGATCATTCCAAACCTTCCGACCAGGTCTCGCCTGTATTCATTCCGATATCTGGAATTACGGCATTCATCTTCCAGACTTGCTCCAACATGCCTCTAGAACGATTCCATCAGTTTGATCAGAAGCTGATTGCCAAGCTTGGACGCGATCGTATTGGAAAGTCTCGATGGAAGAAATTGTCCAAAGATGAAAGGATCAAAGAGGCCCACGAGGCGGTTTCAGATCCGGAAGGATATCAAGAAGGCATGGCGGATAGCAACTTTGACAAGTTCTTGACGGTTCTATCGTTTCTTGTTGGCGGGAAGGGCAATCAACAGAAGATGATTCAAGAGCAAATTCGAGTATCACTTTCAACGATTTCATCTGGTCCTGGCATTGTAGAGAAGCTTGAAACTATTTACAAGACAGCAAAGGCTTTGCCGTCGGATGGCGATCGTGTAAATCCGTACTCGTCAGAGATCAAGACAACCTTTTGGCGACTGTGCAAGGGAATGGAGCAGACCTGCTTTGTGAAGGATACAGCCTCGAAATATTTGGATTCGTTTCTTACTCTTGCGGACGAGCTGAAAAAGTATAGAGACTTTGCGTCGACAATTGGTTGGGATATCGAAGCCGATACATCGATTGCCTTTTTCAGGCGTGCAGTCGGTCGCTTCTTGGAAAATATGGATAGTACTCCTGGTTTTGCTGAGGATCTCAAAGCTGTTCGCTGCGTAATGAAAGAGATGTCCTCGGAGGTAGAAGATTCACCTACAGATGATGTCATAAAGCAAACATTTGATCGACTCTTTCATGCACTTTCAGAAGAAAAGTTTGCTGAGTTTACTTCTACCGATACCGTCCGCCAGCTTTCTGGCTTGGGGGATGAACTGGTCGTCTACAACAAGCTTGCGACAGAGGCCGGCTGGACAAAGGAAGAGTTGAAAGTTGCTGTAAAGTTCAAGGCTTTGGTGCTCAGGCAGATTGGCTCCCTCTGTGAGCTAGCATCCAAGTGGTGTAAGCAACAAGGTTTTGGGTACTCAAACTACTCGAAATCGACTTCTTTTGCTGCTTTGTCGTGGCTTGATTGGAAGCTTGTTCTACGCTCGATCTTGTTGCTTCGGCACTACGATCGTCAATTTTGCCTTGATTTCGGCCGTGAAATGGTTTTGATAGAATGTTTGCTCGAAAGTGAACCAGAATGTGGTGCGATTGTGAGTGGCGAGGAGTGTCTTTCATGCCACTCGCTTTTGAATTTCAACAGAATATGCCCTAGCTGCAGGATACCTGCAATTGTGAAGGGCAATGGGAAACCAAAATGCTTCCTACCAAATTGCAATGGCGAGACCCACCCAATTTGCAAAGGGCTCGTTTATCAATGCCGGTGTGGTAGGCGTACTCTGTACAATCTTTTCGTAAAGCCGGAGCAAGAAAAGAAGCACATGTGCCCTAGTTGTTTGGGCCAGGTGTTGGACTACAATCGTCGGTGTCGGAACTGCCATGTTCTGTTCTATCCTCAAAGTGACGGCAGGCCCGGGACGTCGGCCACCATCGTTTGTCCATTGGGTTGTTCACACATCGATCGATCAACTGGAAAATGCAACAGTTGCGGAATTGTTTGCAAACCATTTCCGAGTTTGCCACAGGGAGGTGTGGAACTGCGGTATGGTGGGAATGGAGTCGAACTAACAGGGAGGCAGCATTCTATTGATATTCCATCATCACTATCCGATCCAAATCATTTTGGCCACTTGGCTTGGCAGTACTGTGAATTCAAGGCAACGGGGGGAGTTGAACGGGAACCGGACAGCAATATGGATGACGCTTCTTGTAAGCCACCGAAAAGCTCTGATGGGATTGCAGCAAGCCCAGCCTTATTCCAAGCGAGTGGTTTGACATTGACCAAATTGCCCACTAATAATACTGATTTTGGTGGTGGTGGTGGTGCTGCTGCTTCCGGTACAACATTGCCAAAATCGCCGACAAATCTGTTTGTCTTTGGTGGTGGGGGTGGTACAACATTGCCAAAAATGCCAAAAGCGCCAACGAATCCTTTCGCCTTTGGTGGTGGTGCTGGCAAGCCATTGGCAAAATCGCCCACGAAGCCTTTTACTTTTTCTTTCGGTGCTGCTGCTGCTAGCAATGAAAATGAAACCAAGTGGTGTTGATTGCATATATCCTAGGTAGCAATAGTAAACACACCGAGCAAAAGATCTATGTGTAATTGAAGGTACTGCTCGATCGCATGTATGGATTTTTTTATCCCAATACACGACATTTTTCGCTTTTGTAGGATGCGCTGGCCCAATTGGGATTCAACTCCAAAAAGAGACAGCTTCGGAGGGGCCCCATAACATGTATTGAATGTCAAGATACATTTCGACACTACCATGGTATCGAGTATATAGCTCGATTCATATCTTCAATATGCCTTGTCTTTTCGCCGTCCTTTTTGTTTGCATCTTGATCGAAAGAGTTGCCGAAGGTCGTCTCGAATTATTCATAGCTACAGCACTCCTTCCGCCCTTTACCTCTGCTAGATCACTGGCTAAGAAACAGTATTGTTGCGGATTTGATATTTCTTCACATCCAAGCCTCTCTTGACATTATGCGCCCCCAATCTCTCATGGCTCTTTTAGTAGCATTTCGCGGATTTCTCAGTCTCCATCGATGATCTCTCACCGGCACTCCATTTTCCAGTTCCGACGCAATCTGCTGAATCGTTGGTTTTTTGCTTTGATGAAGGGAATCAATTATGCAATGGTTATGGTTAAGGGACAATGTCATGAGCGTCCGTTTCTTCTACAGAATCGCTGCCTTCGCTTATGATTTGCACATTCATTGTGCGCGTCTACAGTAGGACTAGGGAAGATCAGCTTCTTGGTTCTTATTGTATGGTAAGGTGCGATTTTTCCTCTGTTGTTGTCGTCAACCAATGTTGGAAAAAACCATCAACGTTGAGAGAAGATGAGATGAACTACAGTACTTCCAAGCAAGAGCACGAAAGAATTTACGGCATCATAAATATACGATGATGATTTTTCGGAGTGTGCGTGCAGCGTGTTCTTTGCAACCGACAATCGACTCCATCGACTAAATGACCTTGATCAGAAGCTTCATAGACTATACTGTAAGTAACTAGCTGGAGTGTGCTGCTACTACTTTTTATGTACCGTATTAGACGGTAACCACGACCAAGGGGTACAAGCAGTCAGTCACGATACATTATTCCTTCATGCGCTTTGGCACCCTGGTAATTGATCGGCAAGACGGGAGACGTATGGGCGTTTCTAGCTCTTCCTTAGTCTCAATTTCCGTCGTGTCGATTACGGCGCGTCGCTTCAGTGAAGTACACGGTTGGCGGACGGAGCGAAGAGTGTCGACGAAGAGGACGGAAGATTTGGAGAAGACATTGTTCGCAATGGGAGCTTGTGGGATGATGGAGACGATAGAAGGAGCTTAGCTGCTCGGTCAAGACCGTCAGCTTTTTTGCTTTTCCCGCCCTCACCACCCTCTCTCTCATTTGCACCATAGCTCGGTACCCCATTTGGTCCGGGTTTGTCTGTCAATCCTATTGATTGTCCTTTTCGAATCCTATGATTCGACCTCGGTGCAAACCAGTCACTAACTTAGTACCTCGCTACTGTGCCAAACCTACTCGCTTCTCGTATGTAGCATCAGGCTTTTGCCACAGTTTCCATGGTAGCATACGTGCGCGATCTCTCCAGACAAAGACTACATCATGCGATTCAAGCCCAGGAGTGGAGGCGGCGCCGGGTAATCTTCGATTACAGGTATTAACACCGGTCCCACAGAAGAAGCACCAAGAAGCGCGATGTTTTTGAAACGGACAACACGAACACGATCCACTACCCTTGTATCCTAATTAAATTGTTCATACTTCATCCCACTATTAGGCTCTTGTTCCAGGATGACCAAAGGAGAAGACTAGGATTTTTGGCCACACGATATGGAAGCAAGTGAAATTTCGCTGGATGGTGTACCCCTCAGTATATTCATCGTCAAAGTTACAAAACGTGCTTCTCTCGGAGAAGATAACTAACAATCCAGGGCGCGAGATACATCTGCAAATGACCAAAGACGATCCTCCTCCTATGAAGAGTCCTCCCACCTTTCAAATCAAGGTTGCCCTCATCGGCAATGTCTCGGCCGGTAAGACTACTGTTGTCAATGCACTCTTTCGCGACAAGTTTGGGGAAGTCTCCATGAAGCGAACCACTGCAGGCATTAATGAGTTTGCCATTTCCAGCCGCAACGAATGGGCATTGGTATCCGAGGCGCCTCGAGACTCTCATTCGGTCTTGAAGGAAATCACCCAAGACAACCTCGAGCTACGAACAAGTGAAGAAGTCAAGACCAAGCGCTTCGAAATCGAGTTGGACGAAGCGCTATGTGACATGCGAAAGGATACACAGCTTGTGGTTGTGGATATCCCCGGCATCAACGAAGCTGACATGAGCAAAAAGTACAAAAACTACGTTGAGAGTCACTGGAATACCTTTGATTGTGTAGTGGTGGTTATGGATGGTCGCCAAGGCGTCAACACGGAAGAGCAAGTCTCCTTGCTCCGCTTCGCAAAGAGCAACTTGGAATCCAAGAAGGACGTGCCCATTGTGATCTTGTGCAACAAGATTGATGATCAAGACGATGAAGAACAAGAGGAACTAGTCCTGGAGGCGCAGCGTGAAGTCGAAAAGATCTTTGGAGTACCAGATCGACAGAAAAGTCTTCAAGAGATCCTCAAAAAATGTGTCTCCTCCAAACAGTCTGCAGACAGTACCGAGAAACAAGAGCCAACAGATGATCATTCCAAACCTTCCGACCAGGTCTCGCCTGTATTCATTCCGATATCTGGAATTACGGCATTCATCTTCCAGACTTGCTCCAACATGCCTCTAGAACGATTCCATCAGTTTGATCAGAAGCTGATTGCCAAGCTTGGACGCGATCGTATTGGAAAGTCTCGATGGAAGAAATTGTCCAAAGATGAAAGGATCAAAGAGGCCCACGAGGCGGTTTCAGATCCGGAAGGATATCAAGAAGGCATGGCGGATAGCAACTTTGACAAGTTCTTGACGGTTCTATCGTTTCTTGTTGGCGGGAAGGGCAATCAACAGAAGATGATTCAAGAGCAAATTCGAGTATCACTTTCAACGATTTCATCTGGTCCTGGCATTGTAGAGAAGCTTGAAACTATTTACAAGACAGCAAAGGCTTTGCCGTTGGGTGACGCTGGTGTAAATCCGTACTTGGCAGAGATCAAGACAACCTTTTGGCGACTGTGCAAGGGAATGGAGCAGACCTGCTTTGTGAAGAATACAGCCTCGAAATATTTGGATTCGTTTCTTACTCTTACAGACGAGTTGAAAAAGTATCGAGACTTTGCGTCGAAAGTTGGTTGGGATATCGAGGCCGATGCATCGGTTGCCTTTCTCAGGCGTGTAGTTGGTCGCTTCTTGCAAAATATGGATAGTACTCCTGGTTTTGCTAAGGAACTGAAGGCCGTCCACTGCGCAATGAAAGACGTGTCCTCGGGGTCAGGAGATTCACTTACAGACGAAACCTTGAAGCAAACCTTTGAAAGACTTTTTCACAAGCTGTCAGAAGAAAAGTTCGCTGCGTTTGCTTCCGCCGATGCCGTCGGCAACCTCTCTGTCTTGGGGGATGAACTTGTCGTCTACAGCAAGCTTGCAACGGAGGCCGGCTGGACAAGCGAAAAATTGAAAGTCGCAGCAAAGTTCAAACAGTTGGTGCTCAGGCAGATTGGCTCCCTATGCGAACTAGCTTCCAATGGACCGTCGCAACAAGTTTTTGGGTACCCCGATTCGTCCAGACCGGCTTCTTTTGCTGCCTTTACGTGGCTTGATTGGAAGCTTGTTCTGCGCTCGATCTTGTTGCTTCGATATGATCGTCACTTTTGTCTGGAATTTGGCCGCGAAATGGTTTTGATGGAATGTTTGCTTGAAAGTGAACCAGAAGTTAGGGCCGAAAAGAATGACGAGCAGTGCACTCGATGTAAGTCGAAGTTGACTTTCAACAGAATATGCACCTCGTGCAGGACTCCTGTCTTTGCGAAGTTGGAAGACAGTCCAAGATGTTTTATTAAAAACTGCTCTGGGACGACTCGTCTACATGACAACAACGGGCTCGTGCATTGCTGTTCAAATTGTGGCTCATGCACTCAGTACAATACATCCGTAAACCTCAAACGCGAAAAGAAGCACATGTGCCCTAGCTGTGTAGGCCAGGAGTTGGACTACAATCGTCGGTGTGGGAATTGCCATGTCTTTTATCATCCTCACAGTGAACATGCGACCTTTTCTGTTTGTCCAATCGATGGACGAGCACTTGATGCATCAACTGGAAATTGCAGCCAATGTGGATGTATCTGGGAACAATTTCCGAACTCCCAAGAAGGCATTGTGAAACTACGATATGATGGCAATGGAGTTGTGCTATTTGGGAGCCAGCATGCTGTCAATGTTCCATCGGCGTTGTCCGATCCAAATCATTTTGGCCACTTGGCTTGGCAGTACTGTGAATTTATGGCAACGGGGGGAGTTGAACGGGAGCCGGACAGCACAGGGGATGACGCTTCTTGTAAGCCACCGAAAAGCTCTGATGGGATTGCAGCAAGCCCAGCCTTATTCCAAGCGAGTGGTATGGCATTTACCAAATCGTCCAGTAATACTTTTGACTTTGGTGGTGGTGCTGCTGCTTCGGGTACAACATTGCCAAAATCGCCGACTAATCTGTTTGTCTTTGGTGGTGGGGGTACAACATTGCCAAAAACGCCAACGAATCCTTTCGCCTTTGGTGGTGGTGCTGGCAAGCCATTGGCAAAATCGCCCACGAAGCCTTTTACTTTTTCTTTCGGTGCTGCTGCTGCTAGCAATGAAAATGAAACCAAGTGGTGTTGATTGCATATATCCTAGGTAGCAATAGTAAACACACCGAGCAAAAGATCTATGTGTAATTGAAGGTACTGCTCGATCGCATGTATGGATTTTTTTATCCCAATACACGACATTTTTCGCTTTTGTAGGATGCGCTGGCCCAATTGGGATTCAACTCCAAAAAGAGACAGCTTCGGAGGGGCCCCATAACATGTATTGAATGTCAAGATACATTTCGACACTACCATGGT